TGGGATAAACCCATAAAACAGCAAACGGCCATATAATGCAAAACAATTTAAAATTAAAATTACAACGGAACAGTAGAGAAAATCCAATCAGAGTGACAAAATAAACTAAGTATCCACTGTAAGGAATCCCAATATCTGCAGACGGATCCGTTTCGGCCTTCCAGGCCTCATCAGTGCAGTTGGGGTATAGACCCAAACGAAACGTTCGACCAGCCTAGGTAGGGCCCAAACTAGTCCCACGACCACTAATGATTACAGAGCCAAACTAAGGCAATATATATATACACAGCCCAGGTGTGAATGCAAATAGTGGAATACAAGCTACGTGGCTCGGTTCCAGTAGATACAGAGAATATTTTGCCACTCTTAACGCGTCCTCCGAAATTCTAACGAGACAGCACTAGTCCGTGAATTTGTGAACAAGATCGGAGATCTAAAGATGCAATCTCTACCGTGCATCAATGGCGGCCTGCTGGATCTCAAAAGAGATTCTTTAATGAAATATAAATAAATTTTAAAAGGCAAATGGTACAAGTATATATATATATATATATATATATATATTCTGGTTTTATTCATCAAAAACATAAAGCTGAATTGCATCAATTGAATATTAATAGGCCTACTACGATAACAAGAAGTGAAATCTAAGAAACAAGAGAACATTAGCAACAACAATTACAAACTTTTACAAACATTCAACTACAAATCAATACAAAGAGACAATCATTACTGAAAACATTAAAAATTTAAAAAAAAACATTGATAAAATTGAATATAAAAATCCTATATTATTATATTCACAATTATGAAATTAGTAGATTCATTTACAATATGTTACATTTAATTTACATGTACAGTACTTACAATATAATTTAAAAATGTATACAATTCCAATACTAAAAAAAATATTTGTTTCTGCCCTATCCTATTGGCAATGTAAACAGCCAGATGTCTCCTTTCCGTTAAGAAAGACACACAGAAAGAAAAAACAGGTCACATACAACTTAACGATAAAGATGGACGAGCTCAGTTAAAATAACAAGTACAGAAACACTAAGATGTTAGATTAAGGATTTTATACCGGGTATGGAATTGGGGAAATATGGTAGAATTGTTGTTTACAGTTGTACTTTCAGTATGTATTTTAATTGCGAAGGGTCTTGCATTTAGGGGAGACCAGTCTGAGCCGTTCAGATTCAGAGGCGTGGAAAGAGCAAATCTAAAGCGCGGTTTCCATACAATTGCTACACGCTATCGTCGACAGTTTTCGGTGATGCTGATTGGTCTGTCGAATCAGGGAGCCTTCCCGGTTGTGTCAGGGACTGCTACGCAGTACTGTTGAACTGAAAACACTATACAGCGACAGTGTAGCAATTTTAATGAAACCAGGCTTAAAACAGACTGATTATCGCAAAGGCTTTCTAGATGGAGCCCATTTCGACGGTGGTGCGAATGCATCGGCTTTAATGTGGATTAAGTCCAAACTTATTATATTACTGACATGGATTATCGAAATTAATGTCTTGTTTTATGACTTATTTACATGCACGAAGTATCCGGTAAACAGTTCAGGGTTGTAATATATTGATAAATTTGTTTTAGCTCAACCAGGAAAATGCATTCTGTTAAATATTGCAGTTTGAATTATATCCTGCTTATTTTTTATATTTAATAAATTTTAGTTTAGCCCTACTCCTAATTTTTTGAAAACAAATGACGAAAACGAAAAAGAAAATTGCATTCAAACTTATATTTGAGAATACTATTGTACACTGCGGTGGTGCGAATGCATCGGCTTTGATGTGGATGTAAGTCTTATAATTTAACAAACTGATTATATTACGGTCGTATGGATTATCTAAATTAATATGTCTTAATTTATGGCTTTCGTAAGCCATTATACACTATACTGTATTTGAACAATTGAATTTCTTTTTGTAACCAGTGGGTTGTATCTCAGTAAGACTTATCATTTACCCTGCCCATAGCGATTGTTACAATCGCCTGAGGGTATGGTATGTATTCATTGCTCGGTTTGCGACAGAGTATACAAATATCTTACATAACGCTATTCGATACATTTCAATACTAAACTGCATTTTGTGTATTAAAAATTCTTAATTTAAATTTTTTTAAATACAAGAACAAAACTGTTAATTGACTATAGGCCTATGCGTAGGCCTAGGGTCTATCATTAGAGTCTACAGAAAACAAAGCTTGTCAATGTTCAAATTAAGCCCGTGTAAACATATTCGCGCTTTGTATGCTGAGCAATTGACTTTCGCACACTGTCCTTCTTTTCATGATCAATTCATAATTAATATTCTATTTTGTTTAACATAAATTGGTTAGATAACACTGAACTTACGATTACAATTTCTGTTTACGATTAGAATTTATTGAAGCCATTTACAGTACTAGGATGTCTCAGTTGTCTCAATGAAAATATAATTCTTGTTCGCAAACAACATTTCAAGTTGCTGAAAATAATCATTATGTTTAGAATTATCGATCTTATATAAGACATATATAGGTTCTATCCTCTGTAAGTTTTACCTTAAACAAATATTAGAGTGTAGGCATAGTCTGTTGCAGCTAGCCTGTTCTTTACATTGCTACAAAACAATTATCACGAGGTAATTTTTCCCGAGGGAATGTAAGTTAATATCTTTCAACACCAATAATATTATTTAGCCTTCCATAACCAACTTCGGCGACCATTACCACACAGTGATTCGACTAGAGAACATTATAGACTCACAAAAATTGAAACTATTTTTTTTATCGAATTTGTTATTGACCCTCGAGTTGGTTTGTTTATAATGTCTTTTGGAGTCATACCGCTAATTTGGTTTGCGACAACGGTTGCCCTGCGACCAACTGATGCATCCTTTGGTTATCTTAGTTGGAACAACATGAAAATCGAAGAAAAACCGAGCATTGCTCGGTAATATCTTCCAAACTTTAATTGAAATACGATCACGCATCGAATGTCAGAGTTTCTGTGCTCAAACCAACGAATGCAAGTCCTACAACTACGCCAGTAGCCTGAAGGTTTGCCAACTCAACAATGTCACCAAGGAGGACACAAATGCTGCTAACTTTCAGGAAACTGGCGACTACATATATGCAACTTTGAAGCATGATAATGCGTGCACGGTAAACCATTTTGCTGTTATCTCCAATATACAATTTACATTTACTGTATTAAATGTAGTTAAATGTAGGCCTAATTAGTTTTGTCGTAGAATTTGTAACTATTAACAGTTTCGGAAACCACACGTACTAAATGTATTAGTAAATGCTATTGATTCGCTCTCTTGCACCGTTGAGAGTATAGTTATCTTCAAAATAGTTGACTCTCACAAACTATATAACATTTTTATTAACAGTTTTTCGGGTTCTCTGTGTAATCAATCAATAGTGTAATTTAACATCCTAATTTTTCTACAATGTAAATTTTATTGTATATAATGTATTTTATTTGTTATTTCTAATGTGTTAATTTGCATGTATTTTATTAACTTTATAATTCTGTATTTTTATATTGTTGGTTTTTTTGTTTTTTTTTTGTTTTTTTTTATACTGTAATTGTGTAATTTTTGAGCAATGACTTTCTCTCAATGTAATTTCCTTTTTGGACAATAAATTTGAATTTGAATTTGAATTTGAATTAAACTATATAAATAAAATAACGTCGATTTATTTTCTCTTTTAACTGAATTGTAATCTAGAGTAAAGACTGCTGTTTAGATCCCACAACAAACAAATCTAAGGACAAGTATTGTTACAGTAAGTATAGTCGTTGATAATAGTTTTGTTGTTTTTTTTTTGTTTTTTTTTGGTTTTTTTTGTGTCCGGTAGGCTCCATAGTACAGATCCCACAACAAACAAATCTAAGGACACGTATTGTTACACTATATTCTCAGGTGGACAGCGGGCGGCGAGAGGGCAGTTATTGAGAACCGAATTCTTTATCATTATATTTATTAACGCTTAACAATAAAAAAAAAAAGATCAACTTAATTTAAAATATATACATCCACCAGAAGAACAGTATTATTTAAGTATCCTTAAATCAGTGAGAAAGTTATTTTATCATTTTGATTTTTATTTGAGAGCTATAACAACTTACTTAATTATGCACGAAGTACCCGGTAAGCAATTCAGGTAGGCCTATTTATGGCATATTGTTACATTTGTTTTAGTAAACCTGGAAAGTGTATCCATCAAATATTGTAGCGTTATTGCAATGTGAATTTTATTCTTCGTATTTTTTAATATTTCTTAAATTTTAACTTAGCCCTACTCCTAAAATTTTGAAAACAAGAATGGCAAAAAAGAAACAAAAATACATTCAAACTTAGATTGAGAATGCCATTGTACACCAGCTACGGTGGGGCTGAGTTTGTCTTGGCTTTATATTTGTGCAAATCACACCCGGGCCAAGTCTGCTTGATATTATTTTCTATTGAGAATAATGGACACAACTAAAATGATCTTTATTTTATGCAGTTCAAATTGAACTGGAAAAGGAGGACGCATCAAGCTCTTCAGTGTCAGTAAGAGTTATTGTGACAGCAGGACGTGCCAACCAGATTAACACCACGTGTTCAGAGGGTGATCCATCTCCAACTCCTGATGTTGTGGATTTCTCTGAAAATGTGGTGGTTTCTTGTGATGGAGTCCGATCAAGCAGGAATGTGACAGTCAGTGTGTCCGTGGCGTATCTTGACACGATCTCGGTCACCAACTCAGTGACTATTAAATCAAGTAAGAAAGCTGTATTAACGATACATTTTTCAGATAAATAAAATAACCTTTAAAATATAATGATAATATTAAGAATAAAAGTAATAAAGATAATGTTAACGGTAAGGATAAAAATATCATTAATGGTAATATGAGGATGGTGAAATTATAATATTAATAATGATGATAATGATGATAATAATAATAAAAATAATAAATTTGATAATAATTACACTACCAAACAAAAATAATAATAATTAATATATTATTATTATTATTATTATTATTATTATTATTATTATTATATTTATTTAATTTATTTCATCAAAGTCCAACAGTGACAAAGTCACACTTTTAACTCTTTACCATTCATCATTATTAATAGCGTCAGTAGCTTTTCAATGTTTCAACATCATGTATCAAATGTAAATTTCGATAATTTATTGTAAATTAGAAACAAGTCCGCCAACATTAGAAGAACAATTTACAAACAAGACTGCTGCAGTCGCCCACTGGTTTCTCTCTCCAGACGAATTTGCAGATAATTTCATTGTTAATTGCTCAAAAGGATCATGGACTGTACTAGAAAAGAATAACTTTCAAGGAAGAGTCATGTGTCATGATCTTGAGCCAGGCTCAACCGTCAACATTTCTGTCACTCCTGTATATGATTCTGAGCCCGGAGAGCATGCTAGCCTCAACATACACTTAGGTAGGCACTCTAGGTAGGGAAAATACAGCCTACCATACAGCGTTTTGTCGAGAGTTAATATTGCTGCTTGTTGGGCTGAAGAAGATTCAATTCTGGAGTCTGATGGAATTGACAAAATAAGGGACACCGTACAGTAATCCTATCTATAACATGGTAACATGTTGGCACTTGCGCTGCAATATGGTCGTCGCGGGTCCAGCCGACATTTTTTCTAGCTTTGGAATAATGACAAAAAAAAAAGAACCAGAATTTTTTTAATAACTAATGGCAATGAAAGTTTATATATAGCCCGTATTATTTAGTAAAAGCCCTATTTAAAAGTACACAGTATTTTCTTAATGATTAGTGAGGATATAATAAGTTTTGTTGGCTAACAATGATAATGAATGACCATATATTGTTTTGACGATAAAGGTTTATTGTCCCCTGAAAATGACAAAAAATCATTAAAACATACAAAACATTCAATTTATTAAACATAGAAAATGTGTACCCTGCTTTAAAAAAATATAAGGAAACGCTTCCAGTGATTTGAAGTGTTTCTATCATTATTCGCTGTAAAATTATGGGTATAACATTTGTTAAATACAATTTCTATGTTACTTCAAAACGAGCAAGTGTTTTCTTATGGTTTTTGGGGTATCTTTAATGAGTGGCGTATTATACCGTGTATCATATCCAGCAGCATTACAATACATAACAAATGACTGCATCACCAGGCCCATATACACGGGGGGGGGTATGGTTCGGGAGAACCCCCTTTTCCAGCAAACCCCCCTCTTTTCTGGCGAAATCCCCTCTTTAAATTTCCCAAATAAGTCCTCTAACCCAACTAATGCACTGCAGACCCACCCAGACATTTTCAAACATATCTGCTTTTATAGCATTATTTAGACCCATAAAGCACAAAACTCCTCTTGCTTTAGGGGTTTCGCAGACCCCACCGGGGCTTCGACTGTGGACCTCACGCCCAGAAACCCCTCCCCCCACCCACTCGGAAGAACCTGGCTACGGGCCTGATTACGATGTTATTTTGTATCATTACTAGAGCCTGACGTTGTCGAGTTCACAAGTCAGACATCTTCATTGGTTTCGATATCTGTCGAATGGGAAATTAGATCTGGGTTTGCTTCAGAATTCGTCGTTAATTGTTCAAGTGGAGTTCCAGTTTCATCTGTCGTAGACGCAGCTGATGGCTCTGGTAGCATGGACTGCTCTGGTTTAACACCAGGGGTACAGGTAGAAGTAACGGTGGTTGCTGTCGTCAACTCAAAGCAGAGTTTACCTGCATCAGAGATTGTTTCAACAGGTACGGTAGGGGTTATGCTGAAAGCCAAATTTAAAAAAAAAATTAGATTCTTATCCCTGACCTCTTCTGCTGCCGTAACGGTGTCCAGCAATCACTGCAGTATCTCTTTTTTGCATTAGATTGCATTATTACTAATAGTCTCAAAGTTTATATTCATCTCTTTTGGTCTATGTGCCAAAAATGAACCTGCTCGTTTTGCTTTGTTTTTTCAAAATGTTTGGACTAGAAACTATTTTTACTTGACCTAACTTGTAAATGTAATCGGCCATCATACAAGTTATAATGCAGTCAATGTAGATATAAATTTAAAATATACGTTGCATCAACCAATTAAGGACTAGAGCGCTGAGGATGTTTATATTTCCAACAAGCATCTGGAATTGAAATAATGATAACGTCAACGCATTATGAAACTTACGTATAAGTTATCAGATACCATTACCAATAAATGCGATTTAATCGGGTCGAGTGGCAGTAGTTAAGATAGAGGTTCCGTTACCTATAATTCAAAACATCGGCACTGGTTTGAATGGAATACTCTATTTAGACTCTTGCTGTGGAAAAAGTATTTCGAATTAGGAGTATACCGTCCCGTAGTTTAATATTATATGGTGTATTACAGATGGCACTGTTAATATAACACTGGTCGAAGATGTTGCAACCAATACAACAACCATAGTCGCCAAGATGACGTCAAATGCGCCACCAACTAGTGTGTATAAAGTGCTTTGTTCAACTGGAGACCCGTTTCCTACACAGTTTAAGGATGCTGAAACGACGACCGTATATTGTATTGGTGTAAATGCTGGACAAAGTGCTAATTTGAGTGTTGAAGCATTTTATGGTAACTGGTCTGTAGGTTCTGTGTGGATATCTATTTCAACCGGTATGTTTAGATTTTAAATAATACTGCCAAAATATTCTATATGAGTACAATATTACAATGTTGTAATTTCAGCAAGGATTTATCACTGCAGTTAAAATCCTTGATTTTGCTTTCTCCTAGCAACAAGGTGGATATACACGTAGGCTAGTGTTAAAGTATAAGTACCACATTAACACCTATACAAGGTGTGTGTGTG